GTCGACTAGGACGTGATATTCCAAGCGTAAGGAAAACTTCGAGCGATCCTAGTCCCTTCTTTCGAAGACAATCTGGAGTTAATCAGACAAAACACTTTCAAAAGAAGACTYAGGTCAACGCAAGTTGACTTATCTTCTGAAATCGATACRATCATGCATACCACTTGTTCAGATCAAATCGGCAAAGGATGACTTGATTTCCATCTAACGACGAGACAGCGTGAGTTGACTCGTCTTCGGACATCACTCATCAACAAAAGGGTAAAAACATGACTTACACGCATAGCGACTCTCAMATGGCGTCTGATCAAAATATATTTACTCTGTCTGCCAAATGGCTGGGCTGACACGACTTTTCGACTTGATGAGATGCGTTGCCAAGTTATTTCATTCCACCCCACACTGGCTGCTAGCAAAGAAATGCTGGCAACCCAACTTCCAAGCAAAGTTAAGATGCTATCGCTCCAGTGATGACTACACTTTCACTCTATCTTTGGTGTGAATGTCATCTGCAAGTAAGTCGGCTACCACTATACAAGTCAGCGACCGACTTGAACAATCGAACAAAGATTTTTTTTCTTTTATCTGTAACAATAAAATTATCAAAAAAGCAATCAGATGTGGGTGTTTTGAATCGTAACTTTTCTAATCTTAATGGATGATACCATCGATCCTTTTTTATAAATGCATCTTGATAGGAGCCCCTTGTGAGCAAGGACGAGGATCCACTTCCAAATTTTGTTGGTTGCTTTGACCTCCTGGCCCTCATTAACCCTGCTGGGAAGGGTCGTTCCCAGTTTTAGCTATCCAAGTCTTGCTCGCCATATCAACCCTATTGGTCCTCGCTTCGTGTGGCGGGGCCAACCACGACAAGAGTGCCTAGCTGCGCTCTGTTCCAACTAATAACCATGAACCGAGTTTCTTGTGGCTTAGTTCTCCATGCACGAGTGGCCCCTAAAACGACCACTAAGGGGTATGCTATGGCAGCTAAGGCTCGTCCGTGAGTAGGCGCATGCCCTTTCCCTAGGAGGTGGCCTGAAATACCCCTCATCCTCGCCCGAGCGAACCTCGGATCTCAGAAGTCGGGCGGGCTTCACCATATAGCATGGTATCCCCCCGCACGAGCGGTCCACTCCGAGTCGTTAGTAGGGCCGGCCCCGAAGGCAGCGAGTCCTCGCCTCAGATGCCTCCTAGGAAAGGGAAAGACGTCTACCACGACAGGCAATATGGTCCCTTGTCGCCTGACGTCAAGGGTAACTTAGAGGAAGAAGAGGGATCACAGAAGAGAAAGTCATTCAGATAGACGGGCATAGACGGAGAGGGTCATTCGAGAAAGAACGGGTGTCCTCAGGAAAAATCTATGTCCAACTGATTTCTTCTTCTTTGCGTGATCAAATTTCTTTTCGTCGTCTACTGGTTGTCCTTCCCTTCAACATGCATGCAGGTGAGCAACAGAAAACAAACACCATTCTCTCATTGCCATTGACATGGTCATGTTCCTCTTTTCCAGGCATCCTTCTACCTTCCTGCACATCAGATTAAACAACAAGTTCAAAAAAAACAATGCAAGTTCAAACTCATGTCAGACTTCCATTCACTCGCGCAAACACATAGTTCATCTACCTTTTCAGTGAACATTCAAAGAACAGGGTCAAGCAAGTGTGGGGTCACACAGGTGTGAAGGGGTCTGAGTCAATAACTGACTGACCTGGAGTGAAATTGAAGAGACAGCCCATTCAAGAAGACCGTATAAATTCTCGCCTTCAGATGAGAACTTTCACAACAAGCTGTCAACAAAGTGATCCACACCACTCCCTTGCGACGAACGACTTCCACAACACAATCACTTCCCAATAATCTGACGACGTCTCAGCGTCGCCGTCTCATCATCCGCACCACCACACCATTGCCGTCAATACTCGAGCACGCTGTCACAAAATGTCCCTCACAGCCAAGACAACCTGAGTAATCTCGCGCACCACTGCCATTAATGCTGCCACCAATCACCACTAGCATCACCGCAACACCATCACCAGCGTCAACGGGTTGCCGCCGTGTTATGCGGACAGCATCACCCCATAGTCACTCTAAAATGGCTGCCGACGCCGTGCAAAACGGGCATAGTCTCCCTTGCACCATTTGCCGAAGACCTACTGCCGCCATGCAAAACGGGTAGTCTCCCCTGCACCGCTTGCCGAGGACCTGCTGCCGCCATGCAAAATGGGCAGAGTCTCCCCTGCACCAATTGTCGAAGACCTGCCACCGCCGTGCAAAATGGGCAGAGTCTCGCCTGTGCCACTTGCCGAGGACCTGCTGCGAACAGCAACACCTCCCGCTGGCACCACCCAACCCGGTGGCTATGGCAGCCTCTCCTTTCCTCTCTTACTGCAGACCTTCACTCCCCTCCTCCTCTTACTCACCGCCCCTCAGCACTCTGGCAGCATAATGCTGCCCTCCACTCCACACTCAATCCGAATGTGGGCAGCATCTCAACTGAGTGAGGATGCTGCTGGCCAGCCATGCTCTTATAGTTGTGCTGGAGTGGTGGGCAGCCACTTGAGGCTCAGCCAAAAAAACGGGGTTGAGCCTAGCCCTCGATCTAAACTTCGATCGAGGGCTGGGAATCAAGTCCCAGGCTTTGGATATGCACCTGGCCACTTCCCCCCGGCCAGGTGCAGCCACGAAGTGGCTGTATCAAGCCATTCTCAGCAGACTGTTGAAATCAACAGTCTGCTGTCACTTCAAGGTCTAGATGCTTCTCTGCCCTGCATCTGGACCGAGGTCACGAACGAATTCGTGCTTCCCCTTTTTTTTTTTTTTTTTTTTCCAACTCTTCTTCTCCCCTCTTTCCTTCTTTTTTTTTATTTCCCCCCTGTATCTAATCTACCCCCGCGGCCACGTACGTGGCTTTTACTTGCTTTTTCCCTTCTCCTACCCCCCCCGTTCGTTTTTTCTGTTCAGGGGCAACTCGTCGTTCATAAACGAACCAGCACCCCTTCTTTTCACCGAGCTGACCCAAAGTCAGGCTCAATAGGGCTTCTTTCCCCTGCCCCGCGCTTGTATGTGGCTCAAATGGGCGCCAGTTACAGGCACGCGGCTTAGAGAGCTGCCTGTTTAAAAAAAAAAATGAACAGGCGCTCCTACCTGTTGGCCGCCACCTCTCTCTCTCTCTCTCTCTCTCTCACTGCATCCCGACGGTCGTGACCTTTACTAGCGACGAGCAAGCTGTCGGGACGCAGTTGGAGGACACAGACAGTGTGTGTCCAGAGAGCCCCACCGTAGCTCAAGTGAAAGGTCTTAAGACCCGCGCCCGAACGTAGCCGCGATCCGTGGCAAATTCATTCATCCAATTTTGCCCATCCACGGATTGCAGCAGCAACACGCACGACGAAACGAACGGGCGCGTCAAAAACAAAACGAAAAAAATAAATAAAAATAAAAGAATCCAAAATAGAATCTAACTAAGAAAATCTAAAAAAAATCTAAAAAAAATAAAAACTTAAAGAAAAACTAAAAAAAGAAAGAAGAAAAAACAAAAAAAGAAAAGACTCTCTTTTACAGCAAAGAGAACGGTCGTCCGTTTCCACGAACGACTGTTCAGCGTTCTGGGGCTGAAGTGCCCCAAATACTTCCGATGGGGCCAGGTGGCGCCTCACATTCAATTCATTTTAGTTTTAGTTTTTTTTTTTTTTTTTTTTTTTTTTTTCCTTTCCTCTCTCACACATCTCGTGGCTAGTCCACGAGCTAATGAGCTGCAGACCAGGAATAAAAAAAAACAAAAAAAAAAATCCAAAAGAAAAAAAAAATTCTCGATTTATGCGTGTCCTCCTTGCTCAGAGGCCATGCTAATTTCCTCCGCGTGGCGGATTCCAGCCATGCGATCTCGTCGATCGAGCGGCCGAAATCAGCCGCGCTGGCCCAACCGGCTGCTCCAAAAAGGAGCCAGCCCGAGGTCGCGCATGGATTCGATCCCCGCATTAGCGGGGTGACAATCGGATGTGTTTACCTACTAAGCTGGCTCCTACTACGGGTGTAGTAGGAGTAACCCTTCTATTAGAAAAGCTGTGGGACCTGGCTGGCCACCACTTAGTAACCCAACAGGCTCCCCCTGCTTTCCTCAGTGGTTATGGCCTTACAGGCCCTGCCTGCCTGTGGCCCCATACCCAGCACGCCCCTCTTTCAAGCCTACTTAGGCCCTGAATCAGTCGCGCGACATTATTTTAGGTAGACTAGGTCTAACTTTATTCTTTCCATGACCGCGGACCACTGCGGCCTTGTCGGGAACCGAGGACGACAAGTCGTACCGCTAACTCCTGCTGTTTTGATCGAATGTCAATGACGTCACACGTCAACGACGTCATATGTCAACGACCTCAGGCTTTAGGTCTCTCAGTTATAGGTTTGGTCAATCTCATCATGTTCCTCAAATCCAACGAAAAGAGTCGGACAACGTCTGACCTTGAAAAACTCGGGCAGAAACCCTCTCAGGGGTCCCCGACATCGGTATTCAAATGTGGACCGGTTGGTGGGTACGCCATGCGGGTCCTTTGGCAGTAAAAGCGTCAGGACCATATGCTTGTGCTATTTAACGATGAGACCGTAAAGAAGTTACCTCTCGACGAGTCCAAGGGAGGAGGAGGTAATGGCGGCAGTGAGTTCGGGAAGTGTGACGTCGCTACTGTAATGGCCAACACGGAGGCCAAAGTCAGTGGAAGAAGAAGAAGAGGCCACGCTCGTTTCCCGAGCATCCCGGCATCACGTTTGGGAGACCTTGGGAAAAGATGAACATGACTCGAGAGGAATGGCAGTTCAAAATGGACAATCGCCAGTGCCTCAAGTGTGGCACCGTGGGGCACGTGATAGCCTGGTGCCCACTTGTTCGAAACCCAAAAGCGAGCAGCCAGTAGGAGTAACATCTGCTCCTACTGAGTCGAAGGGTTTATACCAAAATAAAGGTAAGGCACCGACAACCCCTTCTACCCCTTCGACTCTCAAGGCAGAGGATGAATCTTCTTCCGCCCGTCGTCCAGACCACCCTGACAAAGTACTTTGTTCCGTCTCACTGGACGATTCCCTTGACAAGCGCGACAATGAACTGATAGCACTACGGAGTTCGTGGGCGAAGAAAGCAAAGTCTAAGGGTGAGTTGATGATCGTGGATATTGAGATTGCGCACACGCGAGTAGGTGCTCTGTTAGATCCGGGATCGACGCGGTCTTATATCTCAGAGAAGGCAATTCGTAAGTTGCATATGGAAATGAAGTTAAAGGATTTACTTAGACCTATCACGTCTATACTGGCTGACAAGAGCACGATCACCGTCTCTCAATACGTCGATCGTGTTAAGTGCTATTTCAGGACGAAGGAAGGTAAGAAGATTCTCCACGAGATATCCTTCCTAATTGAGAAGAATTTACCATTTGACATAATTATGGGTATGGATTGGCGTGAGGAAGCCGACCTATAAGTTAAGTTCAAAGATAAAATTGTCAAACTCAAGGACGAGAAGTCCGAACTGCGTGCGATGAAGTTATATCATAAGTCTGACTCTGACTCTACTCCGTCTTTCTGTTGTATGAGTTACCCAACTTTCCGATCAATGATAGTAAAGAAGAACTTGTATCAGGAGGTGATGATGGTACTTGTCAAGCGAGTAGGTGAGTGTTCCTCATCTTATCCACCTTCTATTGAAAAACTTCTTGATGAGTACAAGGACTTGCAGTCTGAACCGACGGGAATTACTGAGCGTGCTATTAAGCACACTATTGAGATCATTCCCGAAAGCAAGATTCCCAAGGGTCCCGTCTACTGAATGTCTCCTAGGGAACTTGAGGAACTCCGAAAGCAGCTGCAAGAACTTACTGATAAAGAATGGATTCGCCCTAGCTCATCTCCTTATGGTGCACCTGTCGTATTCGTGCCCAAAAAGGAAGGTGAATTGCGTCTTTGTATAAATTATCGTGGGCTGAATTCTGTCACTGTCAAAAATGCGAAACCTTTTCCGCGAATTGACGATCTATTGGATCAATTACAGGGATGTAGATACTTTAGCAAGATTGATATTAAGTCAGGGTACCACTAGATCAAGGTGGCTCATGAGGATCAACATAAGACGACATTCCGAACTAGGTATGGTCACTACGAGTTTGTGGTTATGCCATTCGGTTTGACCAATGCACCTGCGACCTTCCAAAGGTCCATGAACGAGATGTTTCAACAATGACTGGATCAATTCGTAGTAGTCTATCTTGATGATATTTTAGTGTATATGAAGATACTGGAAGATCACGAGAAACATCTACGAATGGTATTGCAAAAGTTGCGCGAGGGCAACTTCAAACTGAATCCGAAGAAGTCCGAGTTCGCTAAGCCTGAAGTCTTGTACTTAGGGCATATGGTAAACGAGGAGGACTAAGGCCTGAAGAAAAGAAGATTACAGCAATTAAAGATTGACCACAACCTAAGACTATAACTGAACTGAGATCTTTCATAGGACTTGCTAGCTACTATAGAAAGTTCGTCAGAAACTTCTCCTTGATAGCTGCTCCTATGAGAAGATTACTGAAAAAAGGAAAACCCTTGGTTATGGGACAAAGATTGTGAGTCGTCATTCAGAAAGTTAAAACATACTCTTACTCACTACCCTGTCCTAAAGATTGTTGATCCTTCTCTTCCTTTCATAGTCACAACTGGCGCAAGTTAGTATGGGATTGGGGTTGTGTTACAACAAGATGACGGTAAAGGCTATAGACCTATTGAGTTTATGTCCAGAAGACTTCCGTCAAAAAAAGTGGCCAATTCCACATATGAAAGGGAACTGTATGCCTTAGTAGTTGCACCAGATACCTGGAAGCACTACCTGTTGGGAAAGGATTTCATTGTCTGTTCTGACCACTTTACGTTGAAGTGGATCAAGACTCAGCCTAAGCTCTCCGACAAGTTGGTAAGGTGGTCTGCATTCCTTAATACATTTGACTTTGAGGTGAAAACCATCAAAGGTAAGTCTAACGTGGTTACGGATGCTTTGTCCAGGCGTGCAAATTTCTTTGGAATTATTGTCTCTTATCTCGATATTGGAAATGAACTGAAAGAACAGATTCGTCAGGGTTATGAGAGTGATCCTATTTGGAGTCCTATCATTGGAACTCTACGAAATAACCCTGAATTAGTTCCAGAATGTCGAATGACTGATGACTTACTCTTCTTGTTAGATAAAACCGAAGAATGAATGTGTGTTCCTCACTTAGAATCAATTAAGAGCTTAATCATGGGGGAATGTCATGATGCGGAAGGCCACTTTGGTTTTAAGAAGACGTACGCCGATGTACGTGAACGCTCTGAATGGAAAGGAATGAAGGAAGATGTACTAACGTATGTGTGGACTTGTCTTGTCTGTCAGAGTAACACGCCCTCACATGAGAATCCGATGGGACTATTGAGATAACTGCCAATTCCAAGTGAGCCCGGTGAGTCAATTTCCATTGACTTTATGAGTCTCACTAAAAGTCGAAATGACAACAGTCAGGTAATGGTCATTGTCGATAGATTCTCTAAGTCTGCTATGTTCATTACTTTGCCTGCTGAAGCTAGAACCGAACTCGTCATTCAAAAGTTTCAAATGCGATGGGTCTCCGAGTATGGATTTCCCAAAACCATCGTATCAGATAGAGATGTTCGGTTCACCATTCTACAATGGCCAAAGTTGATGGAAGTCTATGGAACCAGGTTGACCATGTGGTCAGGAAGACATCCTGAAACGAATGGCCAAACTGAACAAATGAATCGTCTTTGTCAACAACTTTTGCGAATGTTTGTTCGACCTGATCGGATCGATTGGGATGAGAACCTACCTAAAATTGCTAGTGCTTATAATAACAGTATCCATACTATTACAAGTAGAACGCCTAACGCACTATATAAAGGATGGAAGCCTAGGCGTCCCATCGATGCATTAACAAGGGACCAAATACAAAGGTTACCCCCAGGTACGCGTGAATTTGCAATTTTGTATGAAGAAGACATTAAGAAGGTGAAGGGAAACATACAGAAAGCCTAGTTGCAAATGATTGAACAAGCTAATAAACATCATCGTCTTTCACAATTCCGAGAAGGGGACTTTGTCTGTGTTAAGTCTAAAGAGTTTTCCTTGGAAGAAAACGTGTCTTAGAAACTACTACATGTCTACTATGGGCCCTGGGAAGTTCTCAAAGTAGTTGGAGGAGAGGATGGACCTTCCTATCGTATAGATGTACCTCCACATCTCATGACATACCCTGTCTTTCACGCGTCTAAACTGCTACCCTATGTAGAAATTGACAACTTTCCGCATAGACCATCTCCATTTCCACCCTCTATGAGTGGAGGCTTTGAAGTTGAAAGGATATTGGAACATGGCTATTTTTCTGCAGGTGGCAGAGGACCTCAGAAGCAGTACAAGGTAAAGTTCAAGTCCCAACCCCCATCTGAAGCCAGATGGTTTAGTAGGAAAGAACTCCTACCCGCTGCTTTTGATATTGTTGCTGCATATGAGCGTGGGTTAACTTAGAATTAATGAATTTTCTGGGATGAAACTCGAAAATCGGGTCGGCAGGAACGCAATAACCCATGCCATATGTCTCGTGGAAACTGAGGGTCTCAGAGGGTACTTGGCCTCCCTCAGCCCAGGCCGAACAAAAGCAAAAAGGCCCTACACGAATTCAGGGCCTGGGCGTGTGACAGTTGACTCAACTGTCGGTCCACCCAACAGTCAAAGTCCAAAGGTACCTAGCCCATGCCGCTGGTCAAGCACACACATTTGTTTGTATGCAGGTACCCAAACAGCATCAGGTCCAAGGGAGAAGTCTGCAACTGTATCATCCGGGCCTTCAGATGGGAGTCAGTCTGGACGACTGAGGAAAGAGGACCGAGGTCGGACAGCCTCAACATCTGTTACTCAAGGCTGGCCTCAAGAGAGTCAAGCATTCAGTCTTGCTATGCTGCTTTGACGCTGGCTCGACTTTGACACGACGCTGGCTTCATGCTGGCTGTGCACCAGCCTTGCAGACGACGGCACGAGGTGGAGGCAGCATGCCGGCTCTTTTTCAGTGCGCCATGCCATGCTGATGTGGCGCTGCCTCTGGTCTATGTGGCATGCTAATGTGGCGCTGCCTCTGGTCTACGTGGCATACTGATGTAGCACTGCTACTGGTCTACATTGATGATGTGGCTATTGCCACCTGTTTCGATAATTGACGTGGGATTGTCCACGCTGTCTACATGAGGTGACTGGTTGCAAGGAAGGAGGAAGATCGGGATCTGTGGTTGAGGGAGAACGGGTACTCACCTGGGTTTGAAGTCGATACTGGAATCTGCAATGTCTTCATGGTCTTCGTGGGATTGAGTGCCACGTGGCACTTCCGTGTGTGATCAGGAATATACTTATTATCTTTGTTGATGTGAAGAGGGGAGAAGTCCGGAGAAGGAGAGGGTCCAGCAGGGATTATTGTGTGATTCTTCATCTTCTCCTTTGTCTGTTCCCCCTCCACTCTCTTCCATTGATGATAATGAGATACTGTTTGATATATTTCTTCACAAATTGGAGACTGTGCTGCAGATACTGACTCTACAGGTATTTGACGACTTCTGAGTATCTGTTAGACCTGGTTCATTACAGAAGTGCCCTCGGAGGCAAAACTCCCGAATTTGTGATTTCATGGAATTCAGTCGGTACTGTGCGCGTTCACGAAACTGTGCAGTGCACTGTTGTGGAGGAGCATCGACGAAGAAGGCGGCCATAGCTAGGGAATGGGAAGATTGTGCTGTCCGCGTGTTGTTGTTGACCTCTGTTCTTCTTGTTGGTAGGATATGCCGCTGTGCCGGGCACTTGCAGTGAAATACGTTGGTAGGGCGGAGACTCGGAGAGTGAGAGTACGAAGAGGAGGGTTGCTTCGATGTTCAGGGAGATATCCTGTGTGCGTTTGGGTGTGACTTCCATATCTGCACGCTTACATGGACATTGATGATGCGTGAGTGAAAGTCTCCTTACGAGAGGCGGTTAACGGAGGCCGTAATTTTCAGACAACTTGTCATGCCATTTATAACAAAATCCAAGGGTCATTTTAACCAAACTTGCCAGCAAGTCATAGAGTAGAGACGCAACAACCTTGAACCAAAACAAAAAACAGGCAAAAAAAAGAAAACAAAAAAAAAGACGTAAAATTTGACCCCCATACCCTAATTTCAGTTTTGGACCTGTTAGTCAGGAGCTGAAACTGGGGGTCCCCGTTAACCACGTGTGGGTCGTTGGGGTGATGTGCGGACAGGTAGGTAGTCGAGTAAGCTGGCAGGCAAGGACTGCGCATGATTGAGGGATTGATTGATGGGTTGTTTGGTTGGTTGGTGGGTTGATTAATATGCAGTGACCCGCACAATCGCCGTCTGAGAATTCTGCATTTTGCTGAGGAACCGCTGTCTTTTTTATCTGGTTTCTGAGAGTCTGTTCTGTTGTGTTTTGCTGTGTTTCCTATGAATTTGTGCCGTGTGCTTGCCTCAGTCCAAGTCTGCGTCCGTGTGCTAACTATGTTGGTCGTACTGTGTGGTACATAGTAGAGCTTGCTAGAGGTCAGTAAAGATTTTACGGCAAGTTGGCTGGGGCTGGAAGGGGCCGGTAGTCGTCCAGTAGGTAATTATGGTCCAGGGCCTGAATGCTGGGCGGTATGATTCTAGGTTCAGGGTCTGTAGGTAAATGTCAATCTGCAATGATGTTCCCGCCGAAAGCCAGAACACCTGGTAGGCCCAGCGCAATCAAGGGAGGGCTACCAGAGGCAGGTAGGGCCTGCCAAAAGGTACTGTAGGTTGGCCGAAAGCTACTGCCCGGACAGCTGAGAGTATATCATTCAATGCAACGGGCAGTTGAGGTCTCTTGGAAAGCAGCCAATCTGCTAGCCAGAGGGAGAGGCTGGCGGAGCACCTGGAGCTGCAGGTAGAGGTTGAGGGTGAAGAAGAAGACCTTCGTGGCTATGGAGCAGTAGGGAGATGTCAGAGAATCCCTAGGCTATGGAGGCGGAGGGAGAAGACCTTTGAGCCGGGGTAGAGGTGGAAGGAGGGAGGAGGTGTGAAGTGCCCCAGAATCTCGATACCCATGTTTGGAAGCTTATCTATAGTATTCATCAACGTATGGCTAAATATGGCTATCTCGTATCCTTGCAAGAACAATGAAAAGTTGTTACGGAACCTCTCTTTTGTAATGTAATAAGTGGGGTATGGTGGACTTACATCTTCATCTTCCTGATTGGCACGCATCAAGAAGTCTCCTGCTGCAGTACCAGTTGGACATGGACTTCATCCGGAGAGAACAGGCATGCGAGTAAATGAGAGGAGAAGGCCTGTGACTACTTGAGTTGTCTGTTGAACATCCAAGGTAGCTCAGGACGTACCGCTATAGCCAGTAGCCATACCAAGTAGGGGAGAGAGGTGAAGTGAGCTAAAGGAGAGCTCTTTCAAGTTTGGCAGTATTGGTTTCAACTGGACATCGGTTCTTGTTGTTGTTGTCATTTGTTATTAATGAAGTGTTGGAGCTGATGATGATGGAGCAATGATGGTGGCGAGATATGGAGGGTGAGGGCGTTGGTTCCGACTTTTTTTTCTTCTTCTGCTTTCCTCCATTCATCTTCTTTCTTAGACTTGTTCTTCTTCTATTTTCAGTTGTGATGAATGGTATTGTTTGAGCAGGATCATAGCAAACAGATTGTGTGATTGGTATTTGACTGCTAGATTGATTGGTTGGTAGAATGGTTAATAGAGTGATAAGACAGAAATCGGGGTCGTGGATTCCAGCTTCAAACTTAGTGCGGAAAGGCCCTAACGCCCTCAGATGCCCGGGTGCCGACCACCAAACAGAAAGTTCTCATTCTGCCTTAGTACCCGATTTGTCCTCAGGCTGAATTTCAACCCATGTCTTTGCCATGAACTAGCGATGTCCTTGTAGCTCAATTGGATAGAGCACCAAACTTTGGATTTAAGGTTTGAGAGCACCACCTTAACAAGAGCTGGCGAGTCGAGTCCAGAACTCTCGGAGATATTTACTGGTAAGGCCCGACCCACCTCGCTGCTTTCGACAAAACGGCTCACAGTCGAGCCAATCCCTTCTGGAAAGTGTTGGTTGCCCGACTGCTTGTCATAGAAGAATCATGTGAAGGGGACAGGGACATGCTTGGAGACAGATAGATAGATAGATAGATAGATAGATAGATAGATAGATAGATAGATAGATGGATAGATAGATAGATAGATAGATTTGTGACGATATATATATATATAGCCTCCTGATGAGTCGGTGAAACTCCGACGAAACAGTTTGTCACAGCCCCTCGTTTGTTGTCCTCTTCTCTCTCTCTGCCTACGGTTTACCGGGCAGTTCTATTTGTGACGAT